GAGAGAGGTAGTTAGCTGTGTTAGTCTGAAGTCAGGCAGGGGGTAGGGTGGAATGACATGTTAGAGACTTACTGGTTCATAAAATGTCATAGGTTAAAGCCTACTTTGTCAGATGCAATGCCATTTATAAGCTGTTGTTTATGAAAGCTTATGCCTCTCTGAACCAGCTAGTCTGTAAGGTGCCAGCCTGGTACGCTTCATGCTTGATTATTTCAGTGATAGTTCTCAACTGGATCGTGTGAAATTACCCCAGATTAGCAGTATGCGCCATCCTTCCACTACATTTATACACTGTCATAGTACTAATCATACCAAACTAGTTATTCATCCACGGGCCTTCCTATGGAGAGCAATGGGCCTTGATCCTGCTGTGTAATTCAGATAAATCATCTTAGTATGATGTTTCTGATAAAGGTTATACCAGTGTTTCTACTGTGCTATAATTTAGAAATGCATTTGGACTGCTGTCCTTTCCTTATTCCTCTATGAGACAAACATGCTATGTCACTTGGGATCTTAAATGTGGACCAACATTGGCTGTATTTGAGAATCTCTTCTGGTTATGACATAAGCCAGCCCAGTTTGAATCTGTGGGGTGAGTCTGCCCCTTTGGGACTTGATGTGGAGATTATGGGACCTGCATTCTGAAGTTTGGTGCATCCTTACCAGTAACAGCCACATGTAATGATAACCTGAAATACATAGAAGGAATAAAATCTTTTCTCTACAAGAAGACCCACAAGCTGCTGAACTGGTAGAAAAAGACATCTGATCCTCCAATGTACTCTACATTCGTGAAAAAGAAAACATACTAGCTTGATATAGAAACAAAGAAAAAAAACTAGGAAATAGAGTATTCACTCATAGGCATACAAAATGACAGGCCAAAGAATTAGAATTCCTTTAGTGGATTGTTTTGCCTCAGCTGCTAACAGAAAAACTGTGTGGAGTTTTTCTTCAAGTTAAAGGCACGCAGAAGCAGGGACAATGCGTACTCTTAGAACTGGCTGTCGGACCTTTGTACAACTATAAATTTATTTCTCCCCTGAAAAAGAAACTGACTCTTGAATACTCTGTCCACAAAATTCATTTCTTGGATATCACCATGAAAATTCACAATGGCCATGTCAACACCACATTGCTGGTGCACCAATACATCGGTCCCATATTGGATCGGCACCTATATAAGGAAAATTGACAGTATCAGTAATCAGCTTTTTTGGCTGATGTGGATGATAATGTCACTGATAAGTGCCACGTGCCCTGATT